GGTCACATTGCCTTTTCTTCTCACTGTGTCAATTTCCCTCTGCATCTCATTCATAGGATTCCTAAACTGCTTTTAGGGATCACTCAGATAGTCTAGAATAATCTCCCCGCTCAAGGTCCTTACCTTAATCACACCTTAAGGACTCTTTGTCCAAATGCTTTAACATTTCCATGCTCCAGGGATTAGGACCTTGTATCCTTGGGAGTTATTATTCAGCCTACCACATTATGCTTTATTTTTATCAGAAAAAAAATACACCATTTATTTTAGGAAAAAAATCAGTTTTGTTCAGATCAATTAAGCTAAAATTCTTACACCCAAAGTAGAAAAATTTGCTGATTTGGAGTTTTTAGGGAAGGTACTATAATTACATATTTAAATTGAAATCATTTCTTTATGTATCAGTTTTGCTCATTAAATGTAAGCTTCCTGAGGACACAAACTATTTTATTAGTTAGTGTGTTTCTTTTCCTTGTTCTTCAGCTACTGGAAAATGTGGTAACTATTACTTAGTAAATGTTTGCTGGTAGGTTGCTGTTGACCTACACACATCATCTAAATGAAGAGGCRAACAACTAGTGCATGAGTTTAAGATGATTGCAAAGGGGCCAATGGCCACCTTTTACACTGAAAGTCCCATATCAGCAGAAATCCTTCAACAGGCAAACCAGGATGATTGGTCACCCAGCCAGGAGCCCAAAGTCCAGGGAAGCTACCTCAACAAGGCTGGTATTCATCCTGGTGGAAAGTGGTCCTAAGATGATACTGTCCTGGAAGTGTGGCCCAAATGTAGCTGCTTGGTGCTTTCAAGCACAATGCAAAATATTAATGTAATCACTTATTTTATTCAAAAAATGTTTATTGCTCCCCTACTATATACAATTGGCAGGCATAGTTCTAGGGGCTGGAGATTTAATGGTGAGAAAGACAGATACTATTCTTGCTTTAGTGAAACTTACATTTTAATGACGAAGAAAGATGATAAACACATGTAGGGTATAGAGTTATAATGAGAATTGTTGATAAGTACTATGAAGAAAAATAACACGGTGTGGGGGAAAGGACAGTGTTTTAGGATAATCAGAGGTCTGTCTATGAGGTGACATTTGAACAGAGACAATGAAGCAAGAGAACAGATTGCACAAGTATCTGGGGGAAGAGGGTGGCAAGAAGAATCAGCAGGTGCAAAGGCCCTTGGCTTGGTCCATGCCAAGCTTGAGGGAACATGCAGAGCCAGTGTGGGCCAGCACTTAGCCAGCAAAGTGAAGGTGATGGGAGACTCGGAAGAGAAACTCACAGATGGCCAGATCACTTGCTTGCTTCCACGGGTATGCCAAAGTCACATGCAAAAGACCCATGAAGGACATAGAGTARTTACCTCTGGAGACTGAGGGTCTGCAGTTGGAAGGAAAACTAACTTTCCTCTATTTATCTTTTCGGGTATTTTGTTTTGTTTTTATCTTGCACATGAATGTCCTTTCTTAAAAAAAAATCTAATAATTTAAAACAATAAAGAGGTTTATAACAATTTTTAAATAATTAATTAAACTTGAAGTTGAAGCTAGGTACAGCAGGAAGAGAGAATTCCTGGTTGGTTGTGTTGAGTCACCATAGATAGGGCTCTCCAGGCAGCAGAGGTGTGGTAGCAGTGGTAGCTTTGGGGAAAGAGAACCCTGAGTAAGGGCCCTACCACCAGGACCAGATCCCAGCCTTTTCCCAAGTCCTCAAAGAGCAGGAAGCTGGTCTTGTTAAAACCGATTGGGAAAGAACTCATAGATTCAGTTAAGATTTAGCCTTTAGCCAGATTGGCCTGGCTAATGTGGAGTGAAGTCCTCTCTTTTGGAAGACTGAGGGGGTTGAACTCAGGGGTGCTTTATCACTGAACTACCTCCCAACCCTTTTTATTTTGAGACAGAGTCTCACTAAGTTTCTGAGGCTGGAGAACTTGTGGTCTTCCTTCCTCAGCCTCCCCAGTAGCTGGGATTATGGGCAGTACCACCTTGTCAGGCCTGAGTGAAGTTCTCCTACAGGCAAAAAAAAAAAAAAAAAAGAAGGTCAGAATTTCAACACCTCTTCCCTAGTTTCAGTGACAGTTGTGCCATCCTGACAAGGGAAAGTAAAGAAACTAAAAATCAATGTGCAGTGACCTGACCCCTCCAGGAGAAAAACAAGGATCTAGAGAGCTTCGAGATAGGATTCGGGTGGAATGGGGAGAGGCTGAGAATGATGAAATAAACACCAATCCCAAGTGGGACCTGCAGGCATCAGGGCAAGCCTGCGMTCCATCTTGGAGACTAAAGATGACTAACAGCTTCCTAAACGTTAAAGGAACTTTCCACCAGGATTGATAACTTGACCTGCACCTTTATTCCCCAGACACATTTTTTGAAAGGGGAGTGGTGCAAAGCTTTGCAGAGCTCCATCCTGTCGGTGCAGAGGAAGGAGGGAGGCCTCCCAGCCCTCCCTGCAGGCACCACAGAACTAGGAAGGTCCACAGGCACTCGGCAGCCCCTCCCTTCCCTACAGCCGCTCCCCTTTGCCCTGCTGGTGAGGTTCTCCCTAACTGTGCAGTTGGTCCACTCCACAATCCTATTTTCTGAGAAACAACTCCTAGGAAGAGAAAGGGAACTTCCTGGAGGCCCCACCCTTGCCCCTGGCCCTCCATACTTCAGGTCTTACAAAGCAAGGCCTGCAGCTGTGATCTCTCTGTGCTGGCAGACCCAGCAGGAGGTTGGGACCCCTGAGACTGTCAATGCTCCTGGCCCCACGTTTCCCCCCATCTCTGCTGAGGAAAAGAGAGCTCAAGTTTACCCTGTAGAGAATTCTGACTGCCTTTTAAAATGGTGGGCTTCTATATATATGTGTGACTTGAATTAAATAAAAAGGGTAAATAGAAAAAACTTGGTGGACAAAGCCCTGACATGATGTCCCCATGTAAGATTCACCTATAATGTGCCAAGCACTGTTCTGTAAATGGGGACTTACCACATTCCTGCATTTTAGAGAGCTTTCCTTCTATCAGAGGAGACTGACTGACTGATAACCCCACTAGATAAGTACATTGGACTTAGAAGGAGAAAGTGAGAGGGTTGGGGGTGTCCTGGCTGGGACAGGACTCCTCTAAGTCAGGCTAGAACCTAGAGGTGTGGCTCAGAATAGGGCACGGCAAACAGAGTAAGTAAAGTTAGTGCCTTCCACACTTAATGAGAAATGAGTGCCTAAAAACTACAGTTAGGAGTGTGAATATCAGCCAGGAAATGATAGCCAAAGACTGAATGGAGATAAATAATACATGAAAATCATTTGTTAGAATCTCAGTTTTGGTTGTATTGCAGCAAACAGTTATTTATTAAATTAAAAAATGCATTTTATTATTACACCAGGCATTATATTTGTCTTAGCTTTTTCACTGCTGTGACTAAAGGACCTGACCAGAATAATTGTAGGGGAGGAAAAAGTTTATTTAGGGGTTCACAGTTTCAGAGGTCTTAGTCCACAGAAAGCCGGCTCCATTCTTTGAGGCTCAAGGTAAGACTGAACATCATGGCGGGAGAGTGTGGTGGGAGGAAGCAGCTCACATCATGATCAGGAGGCAAAGAGAGATTTTTCTACTCTTTAGATAAAAAAATATATACCCCCAAACCACGCCCCCAAGTCCCACCTTCTCCAGCCACACCCCATCACTTCAGTGACCACTGTTAATCCCTCTTAGGGGATTAATTCACTGATTGGGTTAAGACTTACAACCCAATCATTTATCCTCTGAACCTTCTTGCATTGTGTCACACATGAGCTTTTGGGGTAACCTCACATCCAAACCACAACAGTATGCAAACATAAAACAAGTGTGTGACACCAAAAGGAAATATTAGATTGCATCAGCCATATAGATGCCTGTGAATTCAAGATCAAGGTGGGGGTGGGAGTGGTTTGGTGGTACAGTGCTTGCCAAGCATGAGCCAGACCCTGGATTCAATCCCAGTACTACAAAATAAATAGAAAAATAAAAGATCAAGAGCCCCTTTTAAAGCACATATTGGTCTAGGTAGGGTTACTCAGGCATTTACATATGAGGAAAAAAACATGGAATGGTAGCTGRAGAGTTGCACATTTTTAATATACATAAGTTACACATCAGTTAAAAAAAAAAGTGATTGCCATTGCCTTGGACTCAGTGAGTGCTCATGATCCTGCAGTTCATGAGCACTCACACTCTGCCCTGGAGAGGCCCTTGAGCCTGGGCACAGACTAGACAGATTCTCAGGACAGGGACACAGGGCTGGAATTAGGGGACTCTAGCCGGAACTTCCTGCCTGGTACAGCAACTCTGGCAGGTAAGAGATGAGCAAGGGCCGGCCTGTAAGCACACTGTTTTCATGCTATTACTGTCTCCCCTCCCCTGTGCTGATGGAGGAGAGCAGAATACCCATGCAAAAAGTAACCAGAAAGCAGGTTGGGGCAAGGCCACCAGGTCTCAGGGACAAAGCTCTTATCCCTGCTGAGGAAGGCACATCTCTTCTGCTTCTTGGCTTCCAGGATAGACAGCAGTTGAGGACTCAAGGTCATGGAATAGTGATAGGCTAGGTGTGGAGAGGCCTGTGCTCCTGTGGAGACAGCAGGCTCAACTTCTCACTCTGTCTCTGATCTCTCTGAATGCGAGTGAATCTCTGAGAGTCTGCTTGGGCTCAAGGAGCACACCCAGTCCTGCAGATCCTTACACTTCCTTACCCACACACCAACAGCCATCCGAAGACACTCAGAGACCCAAACAACCCACCCATTGCCAAGTGCATGCACTATGAGATGCTTCATAATGGGAACCCTCAGAAATTGTAGTTGGTTGGTTGGTTTCATAGAAAAGCATGCCCTTAGGAAGGGGGATCTGCCCTCTAAGCATAGTTTTGACCCTGGAATCGGGGGATTGAGTAATAACAGCTCAGGCCAGTTAGGTGTTCATGTTCCTGAGCACTCACTGGGTGACTTCATGTTCCTCTCCACAGGAGGCAGTGTCATATTGCCCAGAAGAAGGCCAACTGGCCAGAATCCAAAATATTATCCAGGAGCTTCCCCCATCCCATTATAGGTAAGAATCCTTGGAAAAAGAAATATGTGGACTCTTAGTGTGGTATAATGGTAGGGTGGCATGATAAATGGGAGCAAATTCAGTGGACAATGGCTCTCCTGGGGGCATTAGGAAATGAGTGGGTAGGTCACTGTTATCAAATTGTGTTGGTACCAGACCAGGGTCATTGTAGTAAAGGGCAGCCTGTCTCCCAAGTCACTAGCAGGGCGCTCATCAAGAGTCCCATGGGAAGTCATTCTGATACAAAGTCAGTGACATCTTTGGTTCTCACCTAGATTTATAGCAAGACCAGAAGATGGAAACCCAGATGGCTCTTCAGTGGGGATGACTGTGGCTCTGGAGCCCTAGGCTGACTGAGCTCTCTACTGCTCATCAGTACTGGTCCTTACATCATCTCCCTCCTTTGGCTTCATGCTCACAGCTTAGCCCTAATTTCACCCCCTTTCCCAGGGTTCCCCACCCCTACAAGGGGGCAGATTTTGATGTGGTGTAAGAAAGAATTTCCTAGCAGTCACATGTTGTTCATCCATGAGATGAGTTTCCTAACAAGTACCAACTTATCTGTACCTGGAAGAATTTTTAAAAGAGAGTGGGCTCTTAAGAGAGAACCTATTTGAAGACTGTGGGGAGGCTACCCTGAAGGGTCTTAGAAGAGCAAATGGTCACCAAGACTCCTCAGCCATGAGATCTGTGATTCCCTGGTTCTGTCTCCAGCTAGTGCTCTGTGGGACTCAGCTGGCTTCTAAGAAGACTGATCTCTGTCCCCACCCCAGGCCAAGATGCCATGGCCCAGAAATTTACTTCCAACGAGCCTTCAAAATTCATAAGATAGAAGTAGAGTCTCTTAAATCCAAACTTAGAAATTATCACAAGATTTCAGACTTCACACAGGCCCTGTGGTTTTGTGCTTTGTCAAAAAAAAAAAATATATATATATATATATATATATATATATATATATATACATATATATATAAATTACAGGACCTTGGAATACCTGATTCGACACCTGGCCCACATCGCCTCCTTCAGCAGCAAGACCAACATGCATGCCAGGAACCTGGCCCTGGTGTGGGCACCAAACCTCCTCAGGTAAACACCACTCCCTCACCTTCACCCCATCCTGGTGGGCTCAGAGCCCACCAAAGCAAATGAAACCTGGATTCTTCAAAATTGAATCTCTTTGAAACAAACTAGTAGCTTAGTAATTTGTTATAGCCCATGTCAACTAAGGGTGATTTTAATCACCTAAACTGTTTGGCTGCTAACTTGGAAACTCTGGGTTCCAAAGGCATTTGTTAGATCGARGTGTGGCTAAAGTTATAGATCTGTATGTTACAGTTTCTTGAAAAGGCCTTTGTTTTCTCTAGGTTCATTGGCTTTTTCTTGGCTTTGGTGGGGGTACAACTTGCTATAACTTGAATCAACTGCTTCACGTGACTTTGCAAAAGATGACCTGCTCCACGGGACTAATGGGTGGAGGTGGGAAGGGATCCCGTATGTTTATGGGATAGGGATAGTGTTTATAGTCTTGTAGTGTATAATTCCAGATAACTGTTTTAAGTTTCAGTGGGTTGGGCTTTACAGCCTTTGGAAACACCCTTTGATCAGTTTTAAGAGTTAAAATATTCTAAAAGTGATTTAGGAGATGATGCCTGTGTAAAAGGCCCACTGGCTCTCCTGACTGCTTCRGGTTGTAAGGCAGACTCAGTCAGTAAATATGTTTCTTCCACGGTTCAGGTCTAAAGAAATCGAGGCCACTGGTTGCAATGGAGATGCAGCCTTCCTTGCAGTCCGGGTCCAGCAAGTGGTGATTGAGTTTATATTGAATCATGTGGATCAAATCTTCAGCAACGATGCTCCTGCGTCTCTGGAGAATGATGGTAATGACTCCTCCTGGCATCTACCCCATCTATCCCACCAGCCTATCTTTTCTTGCCTTAGTTATAGGGCCCAATAATAAGTGAGGGTGAGCTTGGTTTTGGCCAGTGTGTGTGTGTGTGCGTGTGCGCGCGCACACACACACACTGGCCACTGCCTGTCATTGTCTGGCAATCCTGCATATATACATGTATAGGTGTGCAGWGAAAATATGGTATGTTTGCCTGTGGCTTTAGCACGTTTTTGATTGGTTGAACACATTACCTACCCCATGAATGTGGTGTGGTGGACTAGAACTAGAAAAATGTTCCATTGGTTTAGTGAGTTCTTAAACTCTTGGTCATCAAAAAAGGCAAGGGCAACATTTTTCTCCTTGATGATTTACTTTCACTGTGATGTTTCTGAAGAACCATATGCCATTGCCTTGAAGTCTTAAGTGAATGAGTTAAGAGGTAGTAGGCTCACACCCACATGCATATTCAGAATGTATTTCCTGAGTGCTTCATTCATTTTACCTTGTGCCAGGCAGTAAGCATACAAAACTGAATATGTGTGCTTATGGGCATCTCATAATGATACAATAAATGCTAGGAGAGAATTGGCTTATGCTGCTTAAACTCCTGCAAACCTAATTTGTAAAAACTGTAAATTCAGTTGATCAAGATGCCTGGTTTTCTTGATTTCTCATTTGTGAATGAAACTGGTTTTCCAGCATTGGTGTGCATCAGAGATACCTGATGGACTTGTTAAAACATGGATTACTGGACCAGAGTTTCTAGTCCAATCACCTATAGTGCAACAGATAATGTACATTTCTAACAAGTTTCCAGGTGATGCAGACACTACTGGTCAGTGGTGTATGAGACCCATGTCTTCAAAATATTTGTTAACTGATTAAAACATTTTTCCCATTCAGTTAGTATATTTAGGGAAACCAGAATAATCTATTGCAATTGACTCAACTGAGAGAGTTTGGGTACCAATCTAGGTCTTCCTGGCTCCAAAAACTTGTTTTAGTATGTATAGGGCATGTTTTGAACCCTCAGTAAATGTTAGTTCTTTTCCTGCTCCTTTTACTGCTCAGTCTTCTCTGTTAACTTAATAGCTTATGAAGGCTGCAAACAGAATATGATGTGCATAACATCCCAAGAAAAAACAGGGGCATTCTCCTCACCAGGCAATACATACATGTCATCTAACAGAGACATCTAGGATGTTAAATTTATGCAATGCTCCAGTTTTGTGGATCAGAATCCAATACCTTTATTTTATAGATGAGAATACTGAGGTCAGAGAGATTGTGATAGCTACAAGATTTATTAAAAAACAGTGTGCATTGAGTACCACCTATATAGCAGGCAGTGTCCTAGACTCTGGGGACATATCAGTGCACAAAATAACAAAGTAGCTTCCTTGCACATAACTATGATCTGAGCAGCAAGACAGCAACATATCTTATAAATAAATATATTATCATCTTAAAAAAATAAAAAAATATATATTATCACTGCAAAAAAAAAAAACAAGAGGAAAATAGATCACAGTAATGCAATGATTAGTGACTTTGGAGTGTTATTTTGGCCGTAGCCTCTGAGAAAGTGATCCTTGAACTGAAACCTGAATGATACAGGGAAATCAACCAAGTGAGGATCTAGGGGATAAGTGTTCCAAAGACATAGAACAGAGAGGGGAAGGAGCACAAATCGCAAGCTCTTCTGTGAATCACGAAGTTAGATGGCTGTTACATATCTCAGCAGAGATGATGAGCAGGCCAGGAACTGAGGCAGATGTGGCTACTGAATCTCAGCCTCCCACCCTGCAGTCCACATTCTTCCCATTGTCCCAGTTGTTCCCAAAGTGATGTAAGTCAATAAATAATTAATGAAAATGATAATCTAGAATCTATCAACAAATACCAGAAGTGAATTAAATTTAAACATTTTCACCCTCCTTTAGGTTAAGTTGGAAAACTGGGTTAAACTCAGACACGTTCTGAAATATTTTCAGGATCACAGGATGTACTTAACCACAGCCCTGCAGAATGGCTCTTGTGCTTATCTTCCTGGCAACACCCCACTGTCACTTACTGTTCCCATTTTCTACCAGTCCTTTTCAGTGTCTTCATTTCCTTCCACTAGAGTGAGTCATGCTCTGCAAAGAGAAATGGTGTCATCATCCAACTTGTCCKCAAGTCTCTTCACACCTTCAGAAGTCACAGAAAGCTGGCAAAGTCACCAAAGGCTAAATAGAAGCAAACTTTGGCTTCTTTTTAACTTAGATCAGGATTTCTCAACTTCAGTTTTACTGATATCTGGTGCCAGATAATTCTTATTGTGGGTTGCTGTTCTGTGCAATTTGTGGTGTTCAGTAGCTTCCCTGATATATACCTACTAGATGCCGGTAGCCGTCCTGCACATATTCATGACAATCAAAATGTCTCCAGACATTAACTAATGCCCTTTGCTGGGGTTATGCAACCCCCCTACCCCAACAACCACTGATGTAGAAAAGAGATAACCCTATATATCATTGATTGTCATCATCAATTCCATTCCTAAGAAGAATACCACAAAATAGGAAAGCGTTAGCTACACACACTAGAAGATAACTGGGAGGTACGTAAAGAGCTATATCTCTCTTAGAAGTGTGGTGTGTAAAATGTGCTTTTCCTATAGAGATAAACACCTAGGTGATCCAGGGGAACTAGAGGCTCCAGCCTTCAACTGTCTTGGAGTGGTTGTTCTCCAGCACTAGGGAGGATGGGCAGGCAGGCTCCTGTCCTACCCTTGCTGAGTCAGGCCACCTCTGTGACTGGACAGACATATCCATCTCACCAAAGCACTAGGCAGAGGTTTCAGGAGTAAAGACCCACACTTTATACTGTAGATCATAGTCATCACTCTACATATATTTGTTGAATGAATGARTGAGTGGTCCCTCCAAATAGTACAGAAAATGAAGCTATTTCCTGAGGGCCCTGTWTGCCCTGTAGCTAGTCTGGCTAGAAGATTTGCAAGTTTTCTGTGTGCAGCCTCAGCCCCAGGTCCCATCAGGCCAAAGAGAAGCCATAATTAGCACTCAGCCCCTTGGTGTGAGGTCAGAATTAAGGGGCTATGGRTGGTGAATCTGGCTGGACTTGCATGGGCCTCCTCCCAGACTGAGCTCTTCTTTTTCTTTATAGAAAATCGGCCCATCATAAAGAGCCTGACGCTGCCAGCCCTGTCCCTGCCCATGAAGTTGGTAAGCCTGGAGGAAGCTCAGGCCCGCAACCTGGCTACCGACCATCCTGCCCGGAAGGAAAGGAGGGAGAACAGCCTGCCTGAGATTGTGCCTCCCATGGGCACCCTCTTCCACACCGTCCTGGAGCTACCAGACAACAAGCAAGTGGCATTCTTTTAAAATTCTGGGGGATGCAGAGCGGAGGGAGACAGAGGAGGAGAGGTAGTCTTGGGGTCTTGATGGAAGTGTGGGTTAGGGATGCCGTCTAGCGGGTGTGTAAAGAAAACTTGCAGAAGAGAAGGGAGCTGTCTCCGCAGTGCACTCTTCCCACTGGTGATGCCGTCCATCACTCATTGTCTCAGACAATGACTGAGATCCCCGATGTCCCACAAAGACCCCAAGCACCACGATGGGAGTGGGGTCGTAGGAGGAGAGTCTTGTCATGTGTCAAACTAAATCCTTTACTCCTTAGACAAAATAGGCTTGTGGTTACAAGAGGAAGTTTACCGAAAAGAAAAACTTGAACCCTCAGCCTGGTCTCCATACCCACATGACATTATAGGAGGCACAGAGGAAGAATCCAAGACAGAGGCCAAGTTGACAAAGGGGACCACTGTAAACTGAACAGCATGCCTGAGCTTTTCTGGGGGAGAAACCCCTGTTTCCTTCAGTGAGTGGATCATGCCCTCCTGGAACTGAGCCCACTCACCTCTCCCTAAATCAGTGGGGAATGAGACTCCCTCCCAGGGATCAGGAAGATGAATGCCTTGGACGGAACATTAAGTACATTTTCTCTTTCAGTCAGAGAAACTGGGGTAAACTCCAAAGAATGGCACCTATTAAAACACACCTCAAGGCCAAGTGCTTGGGAAAAAAAAAAATAAGCCAAATGCAGAACTTCCCACCAAGCACTACAGACATGTCTTGGATTATTATAAAGACATACTAAGGGTGTGGTGGTACACAATCGTGATTCTGCCTACTTGGGAGGTTGAGGCAGGAGAATCTCTAGTTTAAGACCATCTTTAGCAATTTAGCAAGATCTGGTTTCAAAATAAAAAGAGTTGGGGATGTAGCTCAGTGTTAGAGCACTCCTGGGTTCCATCCCCAGAACCAGGGGTGGTGGGGTGGGGGGATGGGATGGGAATTGGTATCTTTGAAGAGCCAGGGCTACACTCTTACCTGAGTTCCTATCAGAATTCAGAACTGTGTGGTTACTGATGACCTGAGTCTCCCAATCTGTGCCTCTGTTTTCTACCAACCCTGCCTCTAACTGATGGCTTTGTCTCTGGCCCTGGAAAAAAAGGGTCTTTGCTCTGACTCATGAAAGCTTAGCTCAGTCACCGAGGGCATCTCCAGACAGTGTGAAAGTCAGGCTCAACTTGAATTTTAGAGGGGAATTTCCTAAAATATCAGAACCACTCACAACTAAGACGATTGAAATCTTTCTCAATTTGACAGTCTCCTTGAAATGACAAGTTAAATTAACTTCTTATGGCTTGACTTTTTTAGGAGAAAGCTTTCCAGTAAATCAAAGAAGTGGAAATCTATATTTAACCTGGGACGTTCTGGATCAGACTCCAAATCAAAGCTGAGCAGAAATGGGAGTGTATTTGTGAGAGGACAGAGGCTCTCAGGTAAGAAAAACCCTGAAAGAAAAACTTATAAATGAATCAGGGGGACCTTTTGTTAAAAAAATATTTTTTTTCTGACTTAAAATAAATTGCACACAAAGAACCTATATATCCTCCATGCAGCTTCCTCCAGTACTAACATCTTACATAAATATGATACAGTTATCAAAGCCAAGCACTAAGCTGCTTGTCTGAGGAGCCCAAAAGCAGCAGAGTTGAGATTCAAACCCTGATCTGTCTGAATGCAGAATGACCTCAATGGCTATAGTCCTGGGGCTCTGCTCAGCTTCTGACGCCCCACCTTTTTTTCTTAGCAAGATTTGACCTCAGAGAAACTACTTTCCATCCCRCTCAGCTCTCTAAAAAGAGATGATGTTTGGGAACATGTCTAGCTTAGTCTGTTTTCTGTTGCTATAGGAAAATACCTGAGACTGGGTGATTTATAAAGAACACAGTTCTTTATTTTGGCTCACTGTTTTAAAGGTTAGAAAGTCCAAGCATGGTGCTGGTATCTGCTTGACTTCTGGTGAAAGCTTCATTTTGCTTTACTCATGGTGGAAAGTGGAATGTAAGCAAGTGAGTGCAGAATAACTAAAAGGGGGCCAAGCTCTTGCAAATTGCTAATCCCTTCCTGGGAGAAAGGCATTGATTCATTCATGAGGGCACTGTCCMCATGACCTGGACACCTCCCACTAGGTCCCACCTCACAACACTGCTGTACTGAGGAATTAAGATTCTAACATATGATCTTGGGGCAGGGGGTGCACTCAAACCATAGCAATTACTATTACTGTGCCTAGAGTAAGTTTTTACTCATTTAAGCCGCACTTTTCCAAAACCCTGCTGTGGGAGCTTACAAAGATATGTAGAACACACCAGGTATATAACAGGTGCTCAAAGCAAGTTTGGTTTGGTTGAAATCTGTCCCAGCATGAGTTGGTGGGTGAGTTTGTTGGAGGAACAACCACGCTACAGACTTCAAGGAACAAATGTGCACCTGGGGAGAAAAGTGATGCTCGTTTCCCACTTCCCACCCTCGCCCTCTCACCTGTTGTACCAAATTCCTGGGTGCTGATAGACTTGACTACAGCCAAGAATTCTGCTGCTAGCCTGCCAATTAGGAGGGGTTACCTGGGACCCATGGATACTTTTTGTACAATTAAATTAGGTTCAGGACTCCTCATTTGCTAATAATTATTTGACAAAATTGCAAAATTTTCTTTTCTCTGTAAAATATTAATAAAATTTTGATTTATCAATGTTCCTTATTTGTAAGCCCAGTTTGATTAAGAAAGTAGGAACTTCTAGAGTGAACCGGGAGAATGTTTTCTGAGGAGATAAACATAAAAGCTTGAAAATTTTTTCTAAAAGAATTTTTTTCTTGTGTGCCCATAACCTGACCCACTGTTGTGAATGCTTCCTCTTAATATGCATTCCTCAGGAATATTTTTTTCTTTTGTCTTTAGTGGAGAAGGCTACCATCCGACCAGCCAAAAGCATGGACTCTCTGTGTTCAGTGCCTGTGGAAGGTGAGTTTGTACACTTAGTTTCTAAGCTGGGGATCACAAATGGAAGATTGGAGCTCATCCCGGGCTTAAGTTGTCAGGCTGCTCCTCCGTGGTCGTGATCACACAGAAGCACCCAGTCCCTCAAACGCAAGGGCTTCACCTGGCTCTTGCTGTAACATCCTCTACTCTATCACCCAGCTAGACCTAAAGAGCCTTCCTTTTTCTCCAGACTTCTCTAGCCATAAGGGTGACCACAGGCACTTTTCATTCAAACCTAAACCAGATAAAAGGTCAACACTTGAAAAGTAAGGCAGAAGCAGCTCAGGCAGAAAGAAGAGCCAAGTATTGATTGGTTTATGCCTCATGGCTTTACGCCTAGATGGTTGTCTTGAATTTTGAGTATTTCTGTAGGTATGAGTTTCATAATGCTTGCCAAGTCATGATTCTGAATTGGCAGAATCATTCTTTCATTTATTATTTACCAGTAAACATGGAGCAARTACCTGCTGTGCATCAGGTGTGTGCAGTTTGCACATGATTTCCTTTTTGTGGGTAGATATGTGGACAGTTACACATGAGGTGACATGCATCACCAAAATGACATGAAACCATATCTGTTCTCACAGCTCTAGCCTTAAGGACTGATTTGCCTCTCTCCTTCTCTTCTATTTTTTTTTTTTTTAAAGGAAACCAACAAGCCCAATTACAAACTACAAGACAAAGGGCTTTCCTGGCAGCAGACTGCTCAACCTACTGTATATTTATCCCATGATTTTCCAGTGCCTTTAATGAAAGACATTTTTCTCTTTGACAAATGAGGCAACATGAGAATCAGGAAATACTCAAAACAGCTTTTTTAAAAATGTATTTTTTAGTTGTCAGTGGACCTTTATTTTATTTATTTATTTACATGTGGTGCTGAGAATCAAACCCAGTGCCTCACACATGCCAAGCAAGCCCTCCACCACTGAGCCCAAACCCCAGCCCCGCAAAACAGCTTTAAAAAGAAAAAAAAATCTAAACCTGAAAATTCTCGGTGAGATCTTTTTAAATGGTATTGACACTTTTAGCATTTTCTTTTGTTTATATTCATCCATTTGCTTTGGTTTTGAAACCTCTTAGGAAAGTTCTTGCAGGATTTAATATATCATCATCTGCTGCATATGACGTACATGGGTGCTGGACAGGTCATCTATCTTTTGAGTCGGTCTCCTCACATGTTAAAGGGGATGATTACATTTCCTTTACAGTGTGGTCATAAGAATTTTAAACATAAAATTATGCAAGATACTCAGCATTGTGCTTGTTATCAATTTAGAAATCATGTCCCAGAGCCCTGGAAACTCACATGTCATCTCAGCTTATTTAGTCCCCATTTGGACTTTCCTTTGCCTTCACTATGTAAGTCAGTCAAGAACTTGCTCCTCACAACTGTGCTTTCTAACATTTAGTTAATTTACATTTCTAGCTTCTCAGCCTCTGAATCAACAGGAAGAAGCCCAGGGAAAAGGGGAAAGGTCTAGCTGAGAACAGCATTGGTTTCCTTGCTGGGAAATCAAACCCCTGTCTGAGTCCATCTGCCAGAGAACACATGCAATAATAAGTTTGGAAGTTTTAAAATAAAACAAGATTGTTATTTTGCCCTTTTTGTCTTCTTCCTTTTGAGCAAACATCATTCTGCCACCCCCATCTATTTTTCCCCCACAATCTACATTTAATGTAACTGCTGCTTTGGAGACTGAGGGATGGACTTATTAAAATCAGAGACCAAATAGAAAAAACTGTTAAAATTTTAATGGCATAATAAAAAGAGCTAGTATGTCTTWAAAATTCTACATTTAGTGCTGGGTAGCAGTCTTAAAAATGGCCTGCTTATGGAAGCTGCTCTCCTTGCAGAGTTTGGAACTGAGAGTATAGCACAGCAGCAAATGGACCTTTCAAAGGATGGTGCCAAAATTCTGTGCATATGAGAAAATGCACTCCTATAATCCCAGCGGCTTGGGAGGCTGAGGCAGGAGGACTGTGAGTTCAAGGCCAGCCTCAGCAATTTAGCAAGACCCTATCTCAAAAAAAAGGGGGGGGGGRGKGGGGGTGGCGGGGGATGTGGCTTAGTGGTTAAGCGCCCCTGGGTTCAATCCCCAGCATGTGGAGGGGAAGGGGAGCAGTGTTTGCTCCCTTTGCCAACTGAATGTCAGGTACTCAGTTTCATCCAGATAGTGTGCCCTTGCTAGGTTGCTACACCTTTCCAGAACTCAACTGTGATGTGCCTGCTCTTACCGGAGGGCCTGAAGCGGTGTGTGTACCCAGGCTGCTGACCACCTGCCTGTTCTTTTTCACTAGGAAAAGAAACGAAAGGAAATTTCAACCGAACAGTCACCACCGGTGGATTTTTCATTCCCGCCACGAAAATGCACTCCACCAACACTGGCAGCTCCTGTGACCTCAGCAAGCAGGAGGGTGAATGGGGCCAGGAGGGGATGCCCGCGGGCGCGGAGGGGGGCTTTGATGTGAGCAGCGACCGAAGCCAACTTCAGTGCACTCAGATCCGTCCCCCACCGGAGCAACTGAAGGTGTTCCGGCCCATCGAGGATCCAGAGAGCGAGCAAATAGCCCCGAAGATGCTGGGTATGTTTTATACCTCGAGCGACAGCCCTAGCAAGTCCGTCTTCACCAGCAGCCTCTTCCAGATGGAGCACTCGCCGCGTCACCAGCGCAAGGCACTGAACATCTCCGAGCCCTTTGCGGTGTCCGTGCCGCTCCGAGTGTCCGCGGTAATCAGCACCAACAGCACCCCGTGCAGAACACCCCCAAAGGAGTTGCAGTCTCTGTCCAGCCTAGAAGAGTTTTCTTTCCAGGGGTCAGAGAGCGGAGGTTGGCCAGAAGAGGAGAAACCACTGGGAGCCGAGACTTCTACAGGTAAAACAGGGGAGAGAGGGAGATTTCCCGGGCAAGAGAGAAAAATTAGCCTTGATATTTTTTTTTTTTTTAAGAGTTTGCAAGGCAATGAGGTCAAATGGTTGGGATTGTGAGCTCTAGAGCCAGACTGCCTAAATACAAATCCAGGCTCTGCCATTTCTCTGTGCCTTGGATTCTTAATGTGTAAAATGGGAATGATGATGTTAATAATTCTACCTTCTCTAGAAGAGTTGTAAATGTGAATTAATTCATGCAAAGTTCTTAGAACAGCAATTACCCAATAAATGTTACTTATTATTTTATTTGCTCATAGTGAGAAGGCAGCAGGAAAAGATCACAGTATAGAATGCTGAGCTACAAAGCTGGAATTGGGGATTTAGCTCTCCCAGACTCATCCTCTCCTCATCCATCCATCCCTCATATCTATAGAAAACATGGCCAGTAAACCCAGCCTGGAGAAAGAGCATCTTTTCCTCAATTTCCTTATGTCAAATGCAGGGAGGATTCTGATGGGGTCTAGTTGAGTGCTGGGCCCAACCTTGCACCAATCACTGTTGCTAGGTTAATAGGTTGTAAAAAGGGCCAGATTTGAGTCTCCAGGCTGAATGGAGTAAGGACAGCCCAACTTGAGCCACCTGAAATAGAAATAGACGGAACCAGAAAGGAAAGGATGGCAGACAGTCAAACCGTCATGTGTTCTGTGACTTAAGAATGATTCTATTTCAGTTAACATTAGCTAACTTTTTTCAGCACCTACTGTGTGGTCAGGTGTTTTCTCTGGTGTTCCATATGTATCATCTCACATAGTCTCACAACAACCATTTGRGGTACAGGGAGTTAATATTCCCAGTAGCTTAAAGAGGGATTAAGAGATTTTCCCAAAAACTCATAGCAAGGAAGTGGAAAAACTAGGATTTGAATCCAGATTTTTAAAAACAAACAAATACTTCATTGCCGCAGGCCGGCTGCAGCAAAATAACCGGGGGGTGACGAATAACTTCTGTAGATTGATGCAGCAGGAATGGGAGCCCTTTATTGTAGGACAACAGAGCTATTTATACATTTTGCACAGCTTATCTTAATTAGCATAAACTAGATACATCAATCAACCAATAAGGAATCTCCACACTTAATGGCTCRCTTTTGTTACTTCTCAAACCACTCCCTCTGACATTTTGCCAGGCACCATCCAGACTTGTTTACGAACTCTAACATTTGTCTGGCAAAATACCAGGTGTTATTTTTGACTTATTTACAGACCTTAACACTTCATGCTCTTTGGGACTCTCCCATGCTTTCTCCATGCATGTTTATTGTGGGTTGTGGAGTTAAAGATCATTGAAACATGGTCCCTTTTCCCTCATGAGCTGAAAACTAGGAAGGGAAGCAAAATGCACTGAAGGATCAGCCGGTAGAAGCCACAGAAGAGTCTACTCCAGCTTCTTGAAGTGAGGGAGCGCTTAGGTACTTGAAATATAAATAAGTGTTCAGGAAGGACTGCATGGGTACAAAGGAGATGCAGTCCTCTCAGGGACTCCAGGGACATGTAGAAGAGGTGACATTTGGGGTAGATGTTCATAAATGGGTAGAATTTCTCCATGCAAAAAAGATGAGAAAGGGCATTTGGGGCTGAGAGGCAACTGAATACTGTGGGATTGTGTAGGACTTGGACCCTAACTGGGCTGATTCMCATCCCAGATTTACTGCATTTGGGCAGTGTGACAATGGCAGTTGGCTGATATCTCTGAACCTGTTGTCCATCTGCAAAGCAGGGTGGCTCCAATCTCAAGGGTTGCGGCAAGGTCTGAATGAGAGGATGTCCATAAAATACCTGTCCATGGTCCAGTTCATAGAAGATGCTCAATAAGTATTAATCATCTTTTCCTCCCTTGGACTTCAGGATGGGGCACAGATSAGCAAAGACTCAGAGGCATCAAGTGATATCTTGTCGGGAGAATGGTCTATGGGCTGGTGTGGGTCGAGCAGGATGAGGGGGGAAAGGGAGGAAGACAGGGTTTCCAAAAACTTTTGTGAAATTGTTTATTGACTTCAAAAAAGAGGGTACTGGGGTCCAATGGGTCTTTTGGACACAGTCTGCTATCTTTTTCTCCCCTCTCTTTCTGAAAATGAGAATATCAAATCAGCATTAGATTTGGTCTGGGGGAGACAGTAATGTGGACTCCAGCCTGCTTCCCTGCCTGTGACCAGTGGCAGTTGGGAATGAGCGACCCTATAGGAGGCAGCCAGGTAGGTCTGCAGGAAGATGCTAGAAGGTTCAGGGACAACAGATCCTCTCACCCGTCTCTGTGATGGAGTTAGGTCAATTTAAATTTCCTATCTTCTTCCATGATTATTCCCAGTGAAAAATTTCAACTTCATTAGTAAAATATTTTTCTTTCTTTTGATTAGTAGCAGTGGGTAAAAAGAAAAAAAAATTAAACATGATTTTCCAGGTTATTTTAGTCATTCTGGTCAAGCTACCTCTCCTATTCTGAGCCAAAATAAGTGAAATTCTAATGATACCCAAAAGGTAAGAGATATAATAAGTATTGCACTTTAGCTAAAGTGTTGATAATTAAGTAATTAATTACTCCAAGTGAAAAAACTCAAGGACTAATTAGTGTCTTCATAATAATTGATTATCTGACTTTTACATGATTTAAGGCTATGTCCTGTTAACCTCATTCTCAGCTGGGGGCAGGAGCCACAACAAACTTATCCTTCTGAAGTAAATGTGAAGCTATGGACTGGCTTAAAAGGTACAACAAACTCTCTACATCTTCTTCTAGAAATGCTCATTAGTGGAAGGTCAGAGTAACCATATGGCTTTAAGAAATCTTGATAAACAAAAGTCCGGAATTTTCCCAAGAGCTATTAGGAGTTGCCTCATTCCTTTACTGAAAAACTTATAATAGAATTTTTTATATAGTTATATTTTGGTGCATCTGAAATATGATTCTACCTATGAACATTGGTTTTGCTGTATTCTTTCAACCAGGAGAAAGCTTCTATCATAAACCCATGGTTCTATCAGTTAAGATAGGCTAACGTAGAAGCCAGACATAGAAAACCTGAAACAATGGCTCAAAAAAGATAAGCAATTTGTTTCTATCATATGCACAGTTCCAGAGGTGGGTGGCTGTGCTCCTGGAGATCATGGGGGCGGGAGTCCCAGGCTCTCCACCAGTGCCCAAGAATGTTGTCCTTGTCTGCATTGGTCAGGATGGGACTATCACCGCAACATCCACATTCCCAGCATGGGATGGGGAGGAGAAGAGGAAGCCTAGTAACTTCCCCTCAAGGGTGTAACCCAGAAGTTCCACACATCACTTCCTCTCAACCCCATCTGCCCATACTTACTCAACATAGTCAGGAGAAGCTGGGGAATGTTGTTACTGGCTGCATAGCCATGTGTCTAGCTGAAATGTGGGCAGTGGGGAAGGTTCTAGTTCTAAATAAAAAAGAGAATGGATATTGAGGAAGGAGCAGTTCATAGTCTCTGTCTCTCTTGTCGCTATTTGGTGCATAATTTTTCCCCTGCTGGAAACCCTTTTGAGCTATGAAGAGTCTTTTGTAACTTTGAAATATCTGCCAAATTTGTCAGTCAACAACAATTTGTTGGACTCATAGGTCCTTAGTAGGCAATTTCTAGGCATAAATCCTGCCTCTTTTCTGAGAAACTTACCCTGGGATGAAAGCCAAGAACACGTACAAAGATAATGGTGCCTGATGCCTGGGTACCACAGAGGTAAAAACACCCAGCGCTGGAGGAGGTGGAAGGAAGAAGAGATTGCCTGGGAATCCTCACAAGAGGTGTATTAGATCTGTGTCTTGAAGGATTGCTTAAGTTCCAATCCTAGGGAGGACCAGAGCACAGGATTACAAGGCCTCTCAGGGGCAGTGATAGGAAAAGGGTGGACCTGTGGTTGGGCCAGAGTAAAGAGGTCATTGTATGTCCTAATGGAGGCCCAGGGTTGTCAGTGGGTYGTCAGCAGGGAAGGGAGTGATATGAACAAGTTCACATTTAGCACAAGCCCTTCCTCCACGCCTCACACACAAATCCATAAAAATGGACACAGTCAATGAACAGAAGACACTGAACTTTACAAAAAGAGATATTGACAAACTCTTTCAATTAATAGACCTCAGTAGAATGCTAAAAATATCTTTTAAAAAATTACTGATGCATTTACCCTTTTACCCCAAAGACTTACTTTCAAGAGTTTATCCTAAATAAATAGCCGCACAAGTACAAAGTAATGTATGGGTGTTGGCATAATTTGTCATGATCTCAAAAGACTGGAAATGAGCTAGATGCTCATCATGAGGAGATTGATTGAATAACTGGTTGCATTGAGTTCTGGAGAGGCCCTAGGTTTGTGGACCCTGTAACATATTTCTTCAAAGTCCTGTGCATCTGTGGGGGACAGGTCCTGAACACCAAAAGTGTCCCCCTCAAGTGTCTGCTTTGTGTTTCTAGTTTTCTGCTTTGGGACTTTTTCTGAAGGTAGGATCTCAGCCTTTGCTTGGGACTGTCTAGAGTATGGAGAATCAACTGGGGCAGCTCTCAACTGATACAAGCCAGAAATCAGTGGATAAATGACCAATGCTTGCACCTTTTGGAGGGATAAACAGCTCCTCACAGGGGTATCAGGAATTCAGTCCCAATCGCTCATAATGGTAACCAGCTCAATGATATCATCTTTATTGACTTTTTCTCCATCCCTGTCTCATCTCTTCACTCCTTTTTCCTGGCACCACCTTCCAAGTAAGCTACCACTGGCCAAGGGGAGCCCAAACTAGGGCTCCCCTTGATGTATAGGGGCTATACATCACATCCTAACAGTCAATCTCCCTGTATACTAATATGCCATGGACTTCAAGATAAGTCATTACATGAAAAAATGCAAAGGAAAAATAGCACATACCATATTTTGTGTAATAAGGGTGGGGAATGAAAATATTTATGGATACAAATATCTGTGCAAATGTAAAAAATAAATATGGCAGAAAAAAAGGAATAAAAATGGCCATAAACAGAAGGGATAGTGGGAATGTGGAACAGGATGGAAGGAACAGGAATGAAAGAAAAAATTTTTATATAGTTTTAATATTTGAACKCTGAATGTTTTACATACTTAGAGATTAGACTAAATTTCAAGAAATATGCCTCTAAATGATGCACAAAAGAAAACAGCACTAAGGTCAATTGAAAGCACTGTTAGTACACATATGGATGCTGTCACTAGGTCTGGCTTAGCTGCAAAGATGGCAAAATGGTACGGCACTTTGGARTTAAGTCACCAAATTAACAAATAGTCATGAGTAGAGTTTGCTCTTAACTGACCAATTTTTCTACAGATACTGCATGTCAGACACTACACTGCATTATCTATTAAACCCTCACATTGGCTCAGCAGAGTGTATCACAAAGCCCTTGGACCAAGATTGTAAAATTTATTGAGAAATCAGAATTTAAAACCAGGTTTCTTTAATTTTACTGTAAATAATAACACTTATTAAGGACGTACTGTGTGCTAAGTGCCACCCTAGGTGCATTGCTTAGTCTTTATTCCACCCCAGTGGAATAAAAACAGTCTTCTGCAGTGAAATTGGTCCTTCTTTCATGCAAGGCAACAGGGGCCAAATTTGAGGTCTGTCTCCCTTCTCCTTGTCTTAGGAGATCAGAGCTTCATACTCGAATTGATTGTAGCTGTCAACCATAGCTATTAGATCTCTATGCTGCTTGGAGTGAACAGCAGATTTTTGTGGTCTTGGGTACCCAGCTTGACTTCTCAGGGCTTGAGTATTTATTTGTGCAGTAGAAGAATAGGCTCGAGCAGTGTTCCTCAGCTTCAGCACCACTGACATTTGCTCTGGGTGGTCTTTGTTGTAGGGGGCTATACATCAGAGGATATTTATTTAACAGCATCCTTGGYTTCACCTCTCCCGACATTGTAACAACCAAAAATGTCTCCAGATGTTGTCAGTGTCCGTAGAAGGCAGCAAGGGGAGGCGGGGAGGGAGATAAAATGGCTCCTGATTAAGAACTGCTGGACTAGATGATCTTTTGGGTCCCTCCCATCCCTAACAGTCTGTGTCTCTGGGACCTGAGGCCAGGACATTGTCAGGAGGAAAAAAGAATGTAAGTGGCAGTGAGCTGGGTGGATTCTCCCTGCCCTCACCCCATCTTGTGAAGCAGGCCAGGAAGCAGGGCGGTGGCTGTGCTTGGAGCAGCCTCTCTTGAAGTTCTTGAACTAATCACTCACATCCTCATTGCAGCTTCTATCACTAAGAAGGCAGCTCTGGAAGATGCCCCACCAGGACCTGAAGGCCTGGGGACAGTGGAATGCAACCAAAGCCTTTCCCTGGAGCCAGGTACCCAGACGGAGGAGAAGAAGACCTCGGAGATCTCCCTGGGCTCTCAAAATTTAAGGGAATTAGAGAAGAGGATGAATCCGGAGAAGGTGGTTGAGGAAAGGCGAGAGGCTGAGGATGTGGAGACCAACGCTCTGCAGGAGTGCCCCGGGATCAGAACAGAAGCCATGTTTCTCCATGAGATGGTAAATTGGGCACACTGCCTCCTCACTACTCTATGTAGAGTCCTCTTTTTGCTGAGGACTCTTGGTACAATTTAAAGGAGATTTAAAAAAAAATATTTTTAATGTTTTTTTTTTTTTTTTTTTTTTGCCAAAGGAACTTTAAGAGACCCACTTCTAATCAGGCTTGGAATTTTTTCGCAGTGGACTTTTCAGAGATTCTGGAGTAATGGAAAGGAACCATCCAGCTCAGGTTTCCTAGAACAGACTCAATTCTAAATATCTCTGACCTGGGATTAACATAAACCAGTGACCTGTCATTGAAATATAATAGCACTCAATCCCAGAAGCAGCACAAAACCTGCTTGTCATATCCCAGGCCCAAATAGAATGATCATTTACATGATCCAGCCCTCATCTCCCAAACAGCCTGCATGGGCTGTTTTCTAGACTTGTTTCTAAAATCTGAAAGATTTCCAGGATCAATCCCTTCCTCCTGTGGCTTCTGGAGAAGTAAAAATATGATGTCAGAATTGACAGAACCTTGTTCACTTGGTAGAGGTGAAATTTTCCAAGCAAGTTTTTGTAAGATGTCCTTACATAAGAAGGAGCAAGGCTTCCTGAAATGCCCAGGGAAGAGTCCTGCATCTGGGAGGCATCTCTGTGAGCAAAGCAGTGTGCCAAAGGAGAAAAGGAAGCTCATTGCCTTTTAACTTGTTTCTAGGACATGCATAAGGGGACTATATGCTGAAAGTCAGGGCGAGTGCCATGGTGGCTTCAGGAAGCCTAAGTGAGGGTTCCTATAAGAGGTGTTGGCATTTGTTGAAGGGGAAGGATGAATGGGGATTGAATTCTTATGAGGAGGTCCCAAGTGTGAGTTGCTTTAAGAAGCAGATAAAGTTAGTACTGGAAGAACTAGGGTAAACTCAAGGGAACGAGTAAAGATGTATTAAACACCCACTTTGTGACAGGTGCTCTGCTGAGCACTGGAATAACTTCATGAACCAAAGGGTCACTGCCTTCTTAGGGCTGACAGCCTAGTGGAGAAAGGTAATTTCCAGGGTGAAGTGGAAGTTTGAAGTGCAGTGGGGCATATGATACAAAGACCTAAGCTAGTCATAGGGGGAATGTCACCAGGGTGAGGGAGAGCTTCCCTGAAGAGTAGATATGTAGGTCGAGAACCTCACCTAGAAGAAAACGGTAGAGTTCTATAGGAAGGGAGAGACTTCCAGGCAGAAAGAGCAAGATGTGTGGTGGATCTAGGGTGGGAGAGCCTGAAACATTCATGGAATTGGAACAAGGCCAGGATAGCTGGAGAAAGTAAAGCTGAGGTGGAAGCAGGAGCCACATTGGGCAGTACTGTGTGGAAGGGCTTGGGGATCAGCGTAAAGGCAATGGAAAAGTATACGATATGTTCCGAGTTTTGTTCTTAATGGGTTAGTCTATTCTGTGAGGAGGAGACAGGCAAGAGAGAAGGCAGGGAAGTCAGTTATGAAGCTAGTAGGTGTGTGGCAAACCAAGCAAGGTTAGAAGGTGGCTACATTGTGTGTGTGTTGGTGATGGGGGTGGGGGTGGTATCTGGGGATAGAAGTGGAAGGAGTCCAAAGCTACTTGGGAGGTAGAATGACCAGGAATTGGTGAAGGATTGGATATGGAGTGAGGAGGAAGAAAAGACAAAGACATCACCTAGGTTTTTGCTCTGGGGAAAAATTTCCATTGTGGTCCTTGTACTGAAATAGCAGAAAGTGGAGTACAGAGGAGTCTAAACTTATTGATTCCTTAGTAAGAGATTAATTAATGTAGGTATTGAGGAAAGTAAAGAGATAAGAAAAAGGTCCGTCCTGCTCTGAAGAGATGCAGTTTAGTAGGGAAAATAGAACTATGCACAAATCATATAGAACAGTAGAGTCAGATTACTTTTGACCAAATAAGAGTTATCTGAAAGAAATAACTCAAAACAATGAATCAATTTCAATGCAACACAATCTTTATTGAGCAGCCACTCAACAGTATATAAGGACCATTTGACTTTGAGGAATCAAACACCAATAAACACAATCCCTGACCTCAAGGAGCTCACAGTCCATTGGAAATAAAACAAGCATAAAAGGAACTGGACTCTAAAACAGCATGTGATTGGAGCCAGGTGAGAAGGTATTCGAGGTGGCAGAGATCAGATTTCTCAGAAAGGCCTGCACCCCCACYGGATGGAGATGCTCCTTCTCTCTGGGACACAATTAGGCCCTGAGACAAGAAACTAAAGATACTGAAGTTTGTTTTCCTGGTCCTCCCTCCATCCTTTTTCTTTCTGCAGCTTTGGGCTTTATGTAGGGAAAGGGAGTTGAGAAGGACAAAGGGAAGCTGGACTTAAGGGGAAACAAGGACAGTAAACAAGATGGCACAGGAGGCAGTCCAACAACCACAGGAAATACCCCGATCATGTTAACAGTGGGTGTCTGTGAATAGTAGGAATATGACATTTTGCTATTTTTGTATTCTTCTTTGTTTTAATATGTATTTAAAAGTCTTTTTGTGTGTAATACGCATTTCTTCAGTAATAAGCAAAAGAATTATACTTATGTATTTGGAAAGCTGGTTTCAGGGTAAGAATTAATATTTTCACTTTATTGGAAAAATTTCATTCTATCTTCTAGTAAATCTAAGGTTAAATGAGACCAGGTTTAAGGTTTTTATTTTGTTTTGTTTCCTTTAAAGCAACGGTACACAGGGATTAAACACTTCTSTTCTGTTGTAGGCAGAGCTGGATTTCAACCCTGGTCTGCTACTCTGTGATTTAGGGAAATTGCTTAATGTATTTGAACATAGGCCGCCTCATTTATGTAATGAGAATATAGCAGTGTTTATCTCCTATGGTTCTGGGAAAATTAAACAAGAAGATAAAAGTATTTTATGGCACACGGTAAGCAATCAAGCATCCGCAGTTATTACTGATTATACATCTCTTATGTGCTGGGTAGCTCAGGCAGGGAACTGTCCCGTCCTTCACTATCACCGAAAACAAGGCAGATGACAATGCTCAGAGTCCTTAATTCTAAGGAACTAATACKTTTCTTGATGTTTTTCAGGATGAAGATGATCTGGCTAATGCCCTGATATGGCCCGAGATTCAACAGGAGCTTAAAATCATTGAATCTGAGGAGGAACTTGCGTCATTGCCACCATCTGTTCAGAAGATAAGCCTAATTCTGCCCAGTTTTGAGTCAAGTCCAGGGGCCTTTGCTTCCCCAGAGCTTCCTGGGAGTGTCTCTCTTGCCTCCGCCCCCTCTCCAGTCTCCGCCCCCCAGGAGGAGGGGACTAAGGGCTCAACCAATCAGAGTACAATGGATGCTGCCGCGGCAGCCAATAGAGAGAAGCCAGAGTCAACCAGAGTCCACAGATCTGAGTCTGGGCTGCGTCCAGACCCTGCTACTCTGGCTCCTCTAGAAATAATTCCTTTTGAGGAGGCGTCTCCACCGGCAAGGACTGAGGCTGGACGCCCCGGGAATCTCTCTCCTCCGCTTCCTCCTGCTCCTCCCCCTCCAACTCCTCTGGAGGAGGCGCCTGGAATCCTGCTGTCAAAGGGAGGTGTTGAGAGAGAAGATCCATCCAGGAATTTGAGGACAAATCCTTATATAGAGCAGCCGGGGTCCAAAGATAGCCCTGGGATCTCTAGTCTCTGTCAGGGAGAGGAGGTCACTCCAAGACAAAGTGAAAAACAAACTTCAAAGAACGCTGCTCCAGAGGGGGAAGTCCTTGGTTTTCCAAGCCCAACAAAGGAGGTTGAGATCTCCCCACATGGAGAGGGCGATGTAGCCCAGTCAGTACAGGAGCCTTCAGACTGTGATGAAGATGACACTGTGACAGACATTGCTCAGCACGTCCTGGAGATGGTGGAGCCCTGGGAGGAACCCCAATGGGTGACAAGCCCTCTTCACTCTCCCACACTGAAAGAAGTTCAGGAGGCCCAGGTGCAGGGCCCGCAGAGCCACCGATTGGAGAAGAGGCTTTCTCACAGGCCCAGCCTTCGGCAGAGCCACTCTCTGGATAGCAAAACTACCATTACAAGTCCGTGGACTCTTGAGGTCATCCCATCCAGCAGCTGTGCTAATCTTGAAACAGAGAGAAATTTTGATCCTCAGGCAGCCAGGAGAGAGATTACTAGATGGGATGAGAAAGCCCTGAGGAGTTTCAGAGAGTTCTCTGACCTGAAAGGGGAAGAGGTTCTTCCCAGCCAGAAGGGACCAGGTAGTGTTCAGTCTAAGCCAGCAGCAATCAGCCCAGTCACCCCAGTAGAGGGAAAGGAGCTCGGGCCGCTTCTTGGGCAGAGCAACCAGATTAAGCAAGCTGGTGTTCCTGGGCTAGAAAATAGCAAGGAGAGTTCACTTAGGGTTCAGGATAGCACCTCACCTGAAGAAGACCCCCCAAAGTTACAGCTAAAGAGCACTGAGTGTAGCCCCTCAAAAGGGAAAAACCGGCCTTCTTCCCTCAACTTGGACTCTGCCATTCCCATTACTGACCTCTTCCGGCTTGAGAATGGGGCTTCATTTAGTTCACCTGGAATGCAGCTCTGTGAATCAGGAGACCCCAAGTTCACCTGGATGACCTCATCTCACTGTAAAGCAGACTCCTGGAAAGATTACTCCCAGGATACCCAGGACCTGGACCTTGTTGCTCATGCCCTGACAGGCCGCCGTAACTCAGCTCCCGTGAGTGTGTCAGCTGTGAGAACCTCCTTCATGGTCAAAATGTGTCAGGCCAGGGCAGTGCCAGTCATCCCACCCAAGATTCAGTATACACAGATCCCACAGCCCCTGCCCTCTCAGAGCACAGGGGAGAGTGTGGCTCAGCCTCTGGAGAGGAGCCAAGAGGAATCCAGCTCAACTAGTGGGACCTCTCAGAAATCTGCCAAAGGTGATTCTCCCTCCTCCCTGGAAAGCCCAAGGGAAGAGAAACCAAAGCAAGATACAGGAGCCATAGCATCCTCACGGATGGATACCACTGCATCCTGCATTTGTGAGGGACCCACCCTTTCTCCAGAATCAGACTTATCTAATCTCCTCTCCACCCAAGACGCAGTAGTGCAATGCAGAAAGCGCACATCAGAAACAGAGCCATCTGGGGACAACCTTCTTTCCTCAAAAATAGAGCGACCATCTGGGGGTTCTAAGCCTTTCCACAGGTCAAGGCCAGGAAGACCTCAGAGCCTAATCTTATTCAGTCCTCCTTTCCCCATCATGGACCACCTGCCTCCCTCATCCACAGTTACAGATTCCAAGGTCCTGCTGTCTCCTATCAGAAGTCCCACTCAGACAGTTTCCCCTGGCCTTCTTTGTGGGGAGTTGGCAGAAAACACATGGGTCACACCAGAAGGGGTTACACTTAGGAATAAAATGACCATCCCTAAGAATGGCCAAAGACTAGAGACCTCGACCAGCTGTTTTTACCAGCCCCAGCGGAGATCAGTAATTCTGGATGGAAGAAGTGGGAGGCAAATAGAATGATCAGTTCAGTTGCTGGTGTCTGAAAAAAAACATCATGATTCATCTGGAAATTATTACAGGGCCGACTTGCCATTTTCCAGCACAGATTATCTAACTTTGGACTTATTTTGGCCTCTGACTTCTCTTTTTTCAGCCTTTTGACTATTCACTAATTAATCCTTTTACCAGAAGAGTGTCAAGGAAAGGACCAAAAGGTGAAATTTAGATAAGTCTGTATGATCAAGTGGGAAAGCTTAGGTAAGGAATGAGGGAATTCTTGCTTCCAATGAAATTTGGGGTCTCATATGTAAGCTGCATTACTCCCCTACTACCATTACCTATACTGTTGAGAGCTGGCTATAGTAATTGTCTTTTGCGAAAAAGAAAAATCCTTTGCAGGTTTGGAAAATGCTATTGAGATTTGAAGGCCTTCTCTTTATTTCATGCTTTTTACTGCTCTTTAAAGCATATGTTCTTAAATCAGTTTTCTAATAAGCTTTGAAAAAGTGAACTATCCAAAATAGAAGCAGATTTGGAAATGCAAACTAATGTGCATTTAGATATCCAAGTGGGTAAACTCACCCATGCTCTTTCCCTGGAATCCCTGCAGATCTGTCAAAGATGACTCCATATACCAGCATAGAAAATCAGAATCTATAAGTCAGGAGCAAACCCTGAGACTGGCACAAACTACAGACTTTCTGGTGCATTTCATTTGGGACCCTACTTGCCACTGTTCTGAATTCTGATTTATAAATCCAGTAGCTGGCCAAGTGAGGACTGAGCTGAGGATTTTCTTAATGAAATGAATCAAAATTTTCATGTATGCAGTTGTGAAGTGAAGGTATCATCCTCCTTAATAATATCAGGGTGTAAGCACCCAATGTCATCATAGAGAAAAGCCCCACACAAAGCCTACACTGTGAACTTAATGTATTTAAGTTGGTGAGCAGGAAACACTTCCTGCTCAGCCTTACTCTTCTTCCATACTGGGCTGGGCCCAGCAGTACAGGAAGGGAGGCAAGGAGGAATCCTAGCAGAGTGGACATCACTACCACTCACTCCCCTCCTTGAAAATGTATTTCATTTTAGACAGTGGGTCCCTTCTTTTTCCCTCTCCCTATATTGTTTCAGATTTGAGGCATGTGTCTCCCTTCCATAATTCTCTTCATCCACCATCTAAGGCCCTCAAACTTGCTCTTCCTTCTGTCTGGATGCAAGCAGAAGCAATAAACCAATCTGATTTTCTTTCAGTTGTTTGGAATTTTTCATGGTTCTTTGCATTTCAGATGGAGGAAGGAGAACTAATATACATGCTGGCAGAATTTTGGTTCTCCCCTCCAAAAAAAAGGCTTCATAGGGCACCGTTTCTCAGATTCAAGCCTCGCTGAATTCTATCCAGAAGCTCAGTTATTGCAGACATTTCTCTGAAGGCTAGCAGTGACTCTGGGCAGAACCCATAGCCAAGGCTACAGCTGGTCTGGGCTGGGGCTGAGTTGAATTCACCTTCTCCAATGAGAAACTGGAAGCTGATGCCTTGCACTGACCGCTCTCTTTTCTCTCTCTCTCTCTCACCCCTTCTCTCCCTGACAAATCTGAGAGTTTTGAAATCTTTCCTGTGCCTTTTAAGCCAGGTCTGTGGCAAGGGTAACTTTAAGTCAGCTGATGAGCTCTGCTTTCATGTTGAGATGAGTGAGAAAAGAGAGCCATCAAAGGGGGCTTCAGTGAGTGCTTTTGCTTTCTCTCTGGGTGAGCAAGACATGGGACCAATAGTTAGTGAGATATCAACTTATAAGAAACGTCCTAGAACATAGCATTTTACTCTAGGCAAGCAAGGTGAAGAAACATGGTGGTGAAAGATGAGAGAGGCCATGTCCCATAAATAAGAAAAGCACATTCCTACCTTATCAGGAAATATGGCAGATAAATTGTATCTGTTCCAGTGTACTTCTGGTGTCTATGCTTTGATAAGGACCAAATTCTAGGCATTGAGAGGGAAAGAATTGCACTTCACCAACCATCAGAACTCTGAGCCAAGTAATGAAATATTTAAACTACTTTATGGTTGTTTTAAATTTTTGTTTGTAATACTTACAGGATATATTTTTATTTGGGGATAGACTGAGAAGCCACCCTTTACATATTAACAATTGACTTTAATTGTAAGGGTTGAGATGCCTATGTTAGATTTATAAAATGGCTGCCATGTTCCTCTGACTGGCATTTATTTATTGGATCACCTTCAGGTGCATGGGTATACGGACGTCACCCATGCAACACAACTGGCAGCTGTCTGGAGATATTCCCTACTGCAAGCTTGTCTAATCAGTTAATTCCAGAAGAGCTTGGAGGCGGACGTTCTGTGTCCTGCTGCTCCTCCTTAACTATCTCACATCCTGTCAAGGTCAGAAACATATTCATAAATTCCTGTGGGCTGGGCTAGCCTAGTGTTGATGAAATTCCATTTCATGGCAAAGAAAACTCATAATTTTCTCCCAAAGGTTCCCAAAATGCCCTGGGATTACCTATTGGACCACCCACATGGGCTCTGAAAAATGAACTCCCTAAAAATGGCTGGTTGGGAATCAGATTGCCTGTTTCCGAGTAGGGGAGGGGCAGGGCAAGTACTGCTGTTTTCAGGAAGATCTGCCTGGTTCCCTGGAAAGGGTTACAGAATCAAACTCTTCAAATATCAATCCTCAAAATGGGGGTGACTGATTTGAAATGTTGATTTTGAAGTGAAATGCATGCATGTTTTCTTTCAGTATTAATGACTGCTTAAAAAAATAATGACCCATTTTTATTTGCAAAATGGCCCTTCCAGGCGATGGTGGCGGCGGCTGCTTCTTCTTCTTTTTCTTTTTTTTTTTTTTTTTTTTTGCCAAAGTGGACTAGAGAGAAGGAATATGGTTTTAATTCTCTGCTTCACTTGGAATATGAAGCAACTTGACCAAGAATCTCATCAAGACACTCTTAACCTAATCTAAGTCTTAAACTTCAAAATATTATCCAGGTCAAAATTCAGGATTTTGCAGACATTAGAAATATACTGTCATCCTCATCAAATATTTGTTAAGAGTTAACAACAGTGCAGGGGGTACCTTGGTACTTCTAAAGTTTTGAGGAGTCAAATGAAGAAGGGAGGATGATATTAAATGAAACAGCCCATAAACAATCAAGAGCAAGGTTGAAAACCATTAACTGCCAAACAAAGGCAAAAATGGGGGGAAATATAGCAACTAGCCTATTTCAATAGGATTGTTAATCGTATTCAAGTGACCTACTGATGTTACACAATTAAACATAATTGTAAATCCAGTAGACCATACCAGTGAGACAATGAGCTGTTGACAACTTTGCTTTGATTTAAAAAAATTAGAGAGTGGCCCAGACATAGTGACATGTGCCTGCAATCCCAGCAACTCAGGAAGTTAAGGCAGGAAGAGCACAAGTTTGAGGCCAGCTTGGCCAATTTAGCAAGATCCTATTTCAAAAAATAAAAAGGGATGAGGTCAGTGTAGCTCAGGGATGTAGGGTGCCCCTAGGGTCAATCCCCAGTATTGCAAAAAAAAAAAAAAAAAAAGAGAGAGAGAGAAAAAAAAATTGAGTGGCAAGCAACTGAGGTTTTCTTCTGGTCCTGATTGGTCTAGTTGTTAAGTTCTGTTGGATCTCTGCAAATAAGGTGAGATCCTTATTCCACACTTTTTAAGAAGAGATTTCAGAGACTTAATTCACTGCAAAGCAAGTTAACTCCTTCTGACAAGTCAGAGGCCCAAGATAAACTGTTCATAAGATTCATTTGTCTGGGATTGGAGTGAGAGAAGTTCAGAGTAGGTTCAATTCCCACTAGAATTAATTAGAACCACATCCTATCATGGCCGGTCCTATCTGATGATAACATGAATCTTGGAGTTTAAATGCTGCCAAAAGTATGATTTTAGGCACTTGGAGGCCAGCTCAAAATGTGGAATGACAAACAATGTGTCCTCTTTTACCCATACCTTTCTTAGCAAAATAAGGCCAGAAGAGGGAGTAAATGCCTGTGCAGGCATGGAGAGCAGGGGAGAGGGGAGAAGCCAGATAGAACAAACCTGGGAGCCACACTGGTCGACTGGCACACAGTAGATCATTTTAGCCTTGAAGTATGTGAGCAATGCAGGGCTGACTTCCCTAACTCAGTGAAGAAGGACACAGCTAAGTGAAAGAAGTTCACCAAGTCCATCGCCATGTTTCACTGGACGAATCACATTGCTTTGCATTAACTTAATGCCTTTGTACTTTCTGGCTTATAATTCTGCAAAGTAAAGCACTTTTCCAAAGGAGTCCATTAGAAAGCTACATGAGCGCAGCTGTTTTTTGAGCTCTACAAATGTTTCCAAAGATATAATCAAAATGTGTTTCTATTCATTAAAAAGTATAAATATTAAACCTATTCATAGACTTTTAAATGTAATTAAAAGTTTTGTTATGCTTTAAAATGTACTCTAATAAATGATATAATGCTTATGATGGAACTATGAGCTAGAGGAAGACCTGGGTCACCAAAAATCAATAATCAGAAAAGTAAATTCTACCCATCAGACTCATTGTTCCGGTTTGTTGTGTTTGATGTCATTTTTTGTTATTTCAAGGTCTGGCCTTAACAGCCAAAGTCCTGATGAGTTGCTTCAGTAGATTTTTCTTATTTTTACTATTTTAATTTAATAATTGTCAAATGTTTACAATTTCACACTCTTACTCTTGCGTTCACAGTCACATCACCCAAATATCCAATACAGTTGATGATATAATGAAAGATAGAAGCCGAAAAGCTTATTGCTTCTCAAAACTTCAGAGTTTAAAGAGTCACATGGGCCACTGCACAGACATGAACTCAATTTTCCTATTACTTGAATAAGTCAAGGAGGACTATTCTTTTATTTGAATGATGTTAATGATGCTTAGGGGACAGGAAGCAAGTATGTTCTCTTAGCATATGTTATCACAGAAAAGGTGGTATTCAGGGAGCAGGGAGAATAATCACACAACCTAGTTTCCTCACTGAATGTCAGTGCCACTTCCTGGTCTTCAATAAAACTCTTTGAGGACACTTCTTTCCCTGAACAAAAGGCTACATTTTCCACATCAACAAACTAATACAAACATTTGGAAGTTTACCCAATTTCTCACTATTGCTTCTGCACCTTTGCTTCTTCCATCTCATACAAACAAAAACAAACCCGTGTTACCAAATTTATGGATCCACCTATTTTCACTTTTACATTCTTTGTGGCCATGATGCAGTCCATGTTCTAGCTTTCTCAATCTTTTTTTTTTAATCGAATTTTTTTTTTTTAAATATTTATGTTTTAGTTCTAGGCAGACACAACATCTTTGTTTGTATGTGGTGCTGAGGATCGAACCCGGGCCACACGCATGACAGGCGAGCATGCTACCGCTTGAGCCACATCCCCAGCCCCTTTTAATCGAATTTTTAAAAAATATTTTAAAGTTGTTGATGAACCTTTATCTTATTTATTTGTATGTGGTGCTGAGAATTGAACCCAGTGCCTCATGCATGCCAGGCAAGTGCTCTATCACTGAGCCACGACCCAACCCCCTAACTTTCTCAATCTTTAATACCAGGCTCCCCTTTTTCTTCTACCTTGTATCCCACCATCATCCTGGATGACTTTGATGTACTAAAGAAAAACCCACTTAATACCCTTGCTACAATTTTTTTTTACAACTTTTTACATCTACTGTTTTGACCTTTTGCTTCATGAACTCAATCTTCCTATTACTTGAACAAGTCAAGGAGGACTATTCTTTTATTTGAATGTGTTAATGATGCTTAGGGGACAGGAAGCAAATATAATCTCCTGGCATATGTTGTCACAGAAAAGGTGGTATTCAGGGAGCAGGGAGAAAATTCCTCAACCTTCAGCATCTGCTTCATTCTCATTCATTCCTCTAGACCAACTCAAAAATTACATCAGATTGTTTCACAGCCCAGAACTTTGTGATCCTAAATTCTCACTTCCCACCAAGGGTGTAGTTCAKCGGCAGAGCATTTACCTAGCATATGAGAGGCCGAGTTCCATCCCCAGCACCACAAAAACAAACAAGAAACCCCCCCCCCCAAAAAAAATCTTGCTACTTTATTCCTTCCGTTTATACAACTTACCAATGCCTTGCCCACTCCTACTCTGACAGCACACTCATCAGACTTCATATTTCTTCCCTTAACCTTTCTAGATCTCCAGGTGCATCATCTCACCTCTTCCTGCCAAGACCATCAACTCCCTTAACAAAAAGTCCTTTAGCTATACCTGCTTGGCAAACTTCCCATGAGGGATCTGGGATTTTACCACCCACCTTCTCTGCTCTTTACTGTGTCTGTGGATTAGAGCACAGAAAATAATGAAATCACAGTGTGAAAGCCTTTCAATATTTATGGTCCCCTACCTCAGGAATGACCTAATTCCCCAAACCCTCTATTCTTACCCTCTCCTACATGACTTGTCCCTCCAAAGGATTCCTTCACAAGTTCATGATATCAGATGTCTTTCTTCAATTTCCCACTGTTATTTCCCCTTAGTCATATATGTATGCACCTAAGCTCTCTTTACTTTAAAGGAAGTGCTGTCCCTCTTCCCAAAGCTCCTATGCCTCAGTATCCTCCCATTATTCTCTCCTATATATTCAGCCTCTCCTTTGGACTTATGTCCTTCAACACATACACATACTAAAATCTCTTCTATCTTAAATATCTTCCTCAATTTTATCACCTGTATCCATGTTCCTTGAAACTTCCTCAACCTTCAGCATCTGCTTCATTCTCATTTATTCCTCTAGACCAATACAAACATGACTTTCACATTCATTTCTCCACTAAATCTGTGTGCGCTACTGAAGATTGAACTCAGGGCCTTGCACTTAGCTAGACAAGTGCTCTACCACTGAGCTACATCCACATCTTATTCTATTAAAGTTTATCTTGCTAAAGTCACCAATAGTCYAATAACCAAATCCAACAGTCACTTCTCAAGCTCTCAACTTCCCTGTTAGTTGATATTGTTGATCATTCCTTTTTTGAAGCTCTTCCCAATTTGCCTCCTTTCTTAGCCATCTATTTTTTATTCTTGTTCACTTGAAATCTTCTTCTATCCTTAAATATTATTCATCAGAAATCTGTCCTTCCTTCTCTTCACTTCACATTCTTTCTCTAGACCATCTTATTTAGGCCTAAGGCTGCTTCTACCACTCAACACACTGAAGAGCCATTCTTGTCCTTTTCTCTTTCATGGACTTCTGAAATGGCTGGCTAACTGTTCTCCCAGAGTTAAGTCTCAGTGACATTGCCCCCATTCTCCAAATCTATCATATATACTAATGCCAAAGTCATCTAAAGATAGTGGTTTTCAAACCTTAATACAATTCAAAATCACCTAGAAAGACCACTAGGCTCTACCTAGAAATTCCAACTCAAGTTGATTTAGAGGTTGAAATTTTCCATTCCAATCAAATTCCCAATTAGGTGACGCTGATACTTCTGGTTTGGAGATTGATTACACTTTGAGACCCCTAATTTGAGAACCATTTGGACCTTATGTTATTCCTTAACTTAAAAATCTTGCATTAGGTGTCTTCTGGCTATAAAACTCACCAGCGGGCTGGGGTTGTGGCTCAGTGGCAGAGCACTTGCCTCCCACATGTGAAGCACTGGGTTCGATCCTCAGTACCACATGAAAATAAATATATTGTTTCCATGTATAACTTAAAAACATTTTTAAAAAACGTTACCAGATTCTGTCTGCCTAAGAATTACTTGCAGTGCTTGTAAAAAGTCAATATTACTGGACTTTACTCTCAAGATTCTGACTTAGCAGATCTGATGCAGTGTCCAGGGAATCTCTTTGAGAATTGGCAGCCTACAAAATAATAACAATTCAAACTCTTTAATGTGGAATTCAAGTCCTTCTGTGATATATTTTGTGCCTAGCATTTCTGAACTAGTTAAATACCTAGTTCTGGCCCACACCTTAGACCTTTGTATATTCTGTGCTCACTGTTTTCACCTCTCCCTTCTTCATCTGTGGTACACTCCTTATGCTTTTTCCAAAAAGCACCTGTGTACCACTTTGAAAGCCCTGCCTGAAACTGCAAATGGCTCTCACCTGCACAAGACAAGGTTGCTCACTCCCTTCTCTGTAGCACCACCATTATCTCATACTTCTACTATGGAACACCCTTGTGTGACAACTGATTAATGCCTGCCTTCTATTAGTTAATAAACTTGGAACACCACTGTGACTAAGAATCAGTATAGTCTGGCACAAAACTGTCCAGTAAATAGAAATGAGGGGGAAAGGCAGCAGTGGTGGAGGCAACTAATAGAGAGGGGAAAGTGGCTTAGGGAATATAAACAGAATCAGAGCAAAGAGGACATCCAGGAACATTTCTATCATGCTCATTCCTGTGTACTACCCTCCTCTACTCCCAAGATGTTTACCCACCTTAGGCTACAAAGAAAACTGGCCAGCATTTTCTTTCCTATTCTCGTACCCCAAATTTACCCAACTGATTATTTGCCACACATTTCCTTCCATACATCTTTTAAT